GCCCGTGAGTCCTCTTCTGCTGGATGAGTGTCGCTGACCGCGGCACCAGAGCCACGCCGCCGCCACCGGCTGTCGTCACGGACCGCCGTGCTCCCTGACCCCTCCCCTTCCCCCTCCTGGCGAGGCTGCGGTGTCGTGACTGTGTCGGCGCGTGCGCGGCCGTCCGCCGCCTTATGCGGCACCGCCTTTGAGCGGCGCCGGCTCGGGTGGCGACGCCGGCCGGGCAGCGGTCGCCGGCCCATCAGATAGCCGGCGCCGCGGCAGCTGAGGCGGCCCGGCCGCGCCATGCCGGCGTCCGTTCTGCCGCCGCGCCCCGAGGACCGACACGCCGTTATCGGACGGCGCCCGCACGCCCGCACGCCCCGGCCAACTCTGGCCGCGTTGCCAGTTGCGCCGCACGTGCACTTATTTCACCGGCTGTTTCATTTGGGCTTGATGCGTGGGATCCGCGTGGATGCACCTGATGCGTGGCGTGGCGTGTAGCGGTGACATTTGGTGGGCACCTGACAGGTGTGCGTGTGCGTGTGACATGCTTTGTGGCGCATGTATAGCCACCCTCACCTGATTCGAATAGATTGCAATTCAAAACCTGTGAGAACTGAATCACAATTCAAAGCAAGCAGACTCTAAGAAGTAGTTCGAATCGCTTTCTGATTCAGGGAATTTTTTCTTCTAATTCTTACTCTGATTCAAGAAAAGAGGGGCTGAGTCAAGAGTCGGATCACCTTAAAGAGTGTGGGGAGAGCCCCACCTTTGGGGCATATTTCAAAAGCATACTCTAGTGAAGCCTCGGGACCAGTTACTCTAATAATATCACTGGGTAGTGCCACTGCCGCACCGTCAAGACATAATAAGCGTGTCAAATTAAATTATTGTCAAGTCCAACTTACGCTGTCAGTGCACTACGCTTCCTCCTCGCAGTCACGACCACCGCGGTCATCACAACAATCGTACGCGCCCCTACTGGTGCGAATGAGAGCACGTTTGTGGTTGGCCCAACGGGCAAGGGCTTGTAACCGAGAAGCGCGTTGGTTGATCTTTGAATCAGTGTGTCGCATCGATGTGTGATGCTACATTCCCAAAGCTGGTGTGTCTCGAAAAGGACCACTGTGATATACGTCATATGGGAGAAATTAAAGACATAGTGCAACGTTTCGTCGAATTCGCCGGACAATGGCTTCATGCTCTCATATCTTTTTTATCTAAACAGTGTTTCAAGCTTTCGTAATATTCAGTACACAAACATTTTGACACATTACGTACCGCAAACATACTTGTAACTGTTGCAAACGAGACATGAATATCTTTATGACTAGTACAGGTTTATTGGGTGACTTACGGGCTACGCTTAGAGGTCTAAGCGTCCACAATGTCATGCAATGAGGACAAATATAAAAGAAAGTTGGCGATGTTACGCCGTCAATGGCCAAGTTTTACTCTGACCCTGCCGGCGGCTGGGCGTGAGGAGCTCTCCACGCCGTAGCGGCGGCGTGCGGCGTCGGGATATGGCATGTGGTTCAGAATTGATGTCTACGTTTTCTGCAGTCAGTTGTCATGAATACAGTGCATGGTTAATTTGATGTCTGTGATGCATCTGAGCAGGCTGATCGTTTCTAGTTGTTATTGGCACGCATCCTACTTTCCTACGGCCCTGCTGTTCAGGGAAAGTACTGGATAAAGCATGCATACTTTCGCCTGGTCACCTGCAGGGCCAGGCGAAATTTGGCCAGGCATTCATCCCCCCCCCCCCCGTCCCTTCAAGGCTCACTATCAGGGCGCTGAGTGGCTCTCGTCCCCATCCTGTCCTGAATATATCCCGCCTCCTGTCTTGGGGACACTGGCATCGATAGGCAGAATTGCAGTGAACGGCGCCGTTCGCTCCAGGTTGTCTCGCAGCGTTACCCACTACGTCAGCGGTACGGTACGTCCGCATAAAGATCGGCAGCTCCCGAACAGCCTGTTCCCCCCCCCCCCCCCCCCCCTCCCGGTCCACCCACTGGGTGACCGGACGGCGGTCCAGTCACGGCGGTCCTCCTACTGGGTGAACAAACGGCAGACCGCTCGATCCTCGGTGCACTGGCTTCATGGTGTGTTCACTGAACTATCTCTACCAGGCGGACTTCCGCGTGCTTGTCTGCCGCGACCGCGACATGAACGCGGTTGGCTTTATCCTGAACCCCACCCGCCAGGCTCAGTGTCTTCCGATCGACAGCCTGGACTAACATGATCCCTCGACCATGAGCTGATCTGGCTGGTCTGTCATGCAGGAATCTAATTCCCCATCTTCTGCCCCCCCCCCCCCCTACCCAGTACCCGGCTCTGTACTGCACTGGCCTAACATTGTTGGCTATGGTTGCTGAACCAACACCCTTCACTTTCCTGTGTTCACATGCAATCCGGCTTTGCATGACCCTTTTCACTAGCAGGTAATACGCCCTCACTGCTATGGTATTTTTTTTTATTTTTGCCCACAAAGGTTTCTTGTTAAGACGTAATGAACCTGCAAGGACCGAACTTACCACGGCCCCAGTGAGAGGAAGACGAACGAACCTGTTTCACTTTCGCTACGGCAACATTTTAGTCCAAGGCGTTGCGGCCGAGGACAAAGAGCAAGAGGGCCATATGTTCCGGTTTTCTGGACTCGATAGGGCTAAGAAACTGATTTAAAACCCTATTATTTCGCCCGTTTTAAGAAAAAAGGAGATCAAACCACTTCCTTCGCGTGTTGAATTCATGTCGCTGGATCGGCATGCCTGCACATCGAGCCATGCTCATGTTTTCGAGCCTGCGCTAGGTGGCATAAGAATTGTTTGTAACTAATCAACTCGCCGATGGAGCCAATGGTGCAACTGGTGGAACATTGTCTGCGCCAGCACAAAGTGAGATCCCAGGTATACGCCCTCCCACGAGTCGCACCTAAAAGGATGTCTGAGATTTTTTGGTGAGGCGTATGAAGCGCGGACGAAGTTTTTACATGGTTATCTGGGCCACCAGGGCGAGGACGATCGAGCGACATCCTACAAGTAATGCAGCTTGAACTGTGCACTGAGCAGCTCACACCATCACTGGTGATACCTTGTTTACACTACCATATTTGTATTGAGCTCAATTCCGAGCAGCTATTTTCGCATGACATCTCACGCTGCAGCACAAAATCCGACCCATGATACAAAAATGCAAATGTCAGCTAGCTTCGAACACTTTTGGCCGGGCTTTTCAGTAAAATGATGGCAAACGCGTGCTTCCTTGCGCGGCAAAACTTCCGCGTGCATTCCACTCGCGGCCTGGACGGGTGCATCGCCAGGCGTCCACTGAAGCAGCGGGCCAACTATGGGGCATAGTTGGTTCGTGGGCATAGAGATGCACTCGCACCTCGCACAGGCCTCAACATCTCGGGGATGTCGAGATGATGGCATGCCGCTGTCTGACTCGTATAAACTGACATGACTCGGCATTGAGTCCTTAAATAGTCATGCCCATAATATATGATATGCTGGTGCATATACGCACAATAGTATGCATAGGTCGAAAGAATGCGAAGGATCCATCAGACGATGAGTAAAACAATCTAATTCCCCGCAGCGCACCCGCGTGTATGGTAGGAACATTTAAACGGCTCCTCCGTTTCAGTTCGAATTCGAGAAATGGTAGCAGCTGTTAGTTCAGAACGTGTCCGTTTTAGCATTAAACTCGTAAATATTCCCTCGAGTTCTTCAAGACAGTTGTATATCATTGGGATGATACGGCAAGGATGTGAAAGAACTTTCTGACGCTAAACTCTTGCAGCACAACCTTCCTAATAAAATGCATAAAAAGGCGACCCTTGATTAGACTGAGATGGATGACACATTGGCGTAATTTTCCGGCGCAAAATCACGCCAGTCCGCGAAAAAAAAACAGCAAGCATGCGGGAACGGACGCTGTAAACGTGTGGCTGCCATCCCTACCGCTTACTAGCGCCACGACATTGTGCTCTTGGCATATTCTTGTTCACCATGGTTTTCAGTTACTATCAGAAGCCGGGCATCTGAAGCGAACCGAAGGCTTCCATGGCTACTTATCGGACCAGCAACTCGCCGCACACGCCAGGACAAAACGGAACTGAAGCATCTCTTCGCTTCGCATTGCAGCGTTTTTGTCTTTTCAACTCACAAAGCGTAGCTCATAACGGCAGGGTGTTGAGAAGTGACTGCAGAAGGTGCCGCGTCCGCCAGCCCCACTCGCGGGAGGTGAAATTCAGCCTTTCTTCACACTTGTTTCACCTGAACATCGATCAAGCTCAGCACTTTGAATTATGCGATACAGCACACTGAAAACATTCAAACAAAATGGCGAGGTTTTGTGAGAACCAAAGGAGGGCTTCCAAGGTTCAGTTTTAACTCTGAACAAAATTTAGTTCACGTTATGTATCCTTCTTTCGCAATGCAAAGCTCTTTATCTATACCGGCGCAACCTACGGTCCTGTATCGTGTCAAAAAGTCAAGGCTCACTATGACTGTTCCAGCCAAGGTACGCCATGGCTGAATGGAATTGGGAAAATCTGATAAAAATGGACAAACGGACTCCGGCGTAGCGTCTGGCCGGCCGCCGCTGACAGATTCACGCCAGGGTATCAGGCGTCTCATTTAAACACGTGACGGTGTCCGTAGCCTGGCGATTCACACCTCGCGATTCAAAGTGCAACACCTGAGCTGGCTTAGAGCAGCCCGCAGCACTTGTAACTACATTCAACTGATTTCGGAAAGCACGGTCATGATGATATTGATATATTCATAAGGCTTTCGCCTCGCCACTCATTAAAATTCTGCATTATGCATGCAGCATGAGATTCTGAGTCCGGAATTTCCCTCACCCACCATCTTGGCCGGTAGGAGAACCAATCCGAAGCGTTCGGCCCCAAATTTGCATATACAGCTGGTGAGTCGTGAGGTGCTGCCACCTGCAGGCGTCGCTGCAAACTGGGCGCACTAGCGCCGCCCAGCGGCCGGCGCGGTACTCACCGGCTTCGGCCTGCTGCCAGGCGAGCGCGGCGCAGAGTAACGCCAAACTCTTGCCGGAGCCGGTCGGGCTCTCCAGCAGGCAGTTCTGCCCGTGCTTCAGCCCCTGGACGATCTGGAACGGCGCAGCGTCAGCCGCCAGCGTGCGCGCGCCCGCCACAGTCCGGAGGCGAGCGCCGTCTCCGGCCCCGGCCGCGCCGTCCCACATGCCCACGTGGGTGCGGAGGCGGCAGGGCGGCGCCGGCCGCCGGCCCGCTGCACGTGCGGCCGACGCGTGACAAGCAGCGCACTCCAACCGAGCACCCCGCAACGGCCACAGACAGAGCTCAGCGGGCCTCTGTCCCGGTCCCGGTCCCGCCCTCGGGTCGGGAAGGCGTTCCGATCGCACCCCAGGCCCCGGTCCCGCCCCGCTCGTCCCGTTCCGTCCCGTCCCGTCGCTGGCGTACCTTGGCCATCATGGCGACCTGGCACGGATAGGCGTTGAAGGGGAACGCCACCTTGACGCCGCTGATGGTGTAGTCTCGGCCCATGGTCGGGCCGGGGCCGAGCCGGGCCGGGGGCCGTCCGGTCGGGAGGCGCCTGGAACAGGGTGAGGCGCGTCAGCCGGGCGCCGGCGCCGGGGCCGGCCACGCGCGGCGTGGGTGGGGTGACGTCGCCGAGATGGGCCAGCCGTGGACAGCGGCCAGACGAGCCGAGCGCGTGTACGCACGTCCGCTCGAGGCAGGTCGCACACCGCCACGCAGCAAGACGAGCCGTGCTGCGGTACAGTACAGGACGCTAGCCACGCCGGTCACCCACTGGCAGTCATCGAGGCCCACACGGCCCCCGCGGACGGCAGCGTCACCACCGCCGAGACGTTGAGTGTGTGCACACGTGGCCGCGCGATCGGCTCGCCGAATCTCGTCCGGTTTTTTTAGATGACATACTGTCCAACGCACACCAAACAGAAATTATCCAGTCGGCATATCCGCCAAGCTTCGGGAATGCAGGGCTAATTTGGAGGCCATTGGTAGGGGTGTTGCAGAGTTCGACATAAGCACCGTAGCAAGAATAAGAGGCCGTCGGGGAAATTTAGCACAAAAAGATGCATTAAGTCCGTTGATATTAACGTTGTCACACCTAAGCAATGTCGCAAAGTCATAAAACTAATATGGTCTTAGCATTTGTCACGTAGAACAGAACTGCAGTCGATACTTATACCTTCATCCGCAAACTTCGCATCATTAATTACCCAACATGCATAGGTCCGTGGGACCGGAAGAAAACAGCTATTACAGGCAATCCCAAAATATATCAATAACCAACGAGTCTAAAGGAGTCCTAAGCACGTTAGCTCCTACAAGCGGATCGCTGAACAAACAGGCGGTATCCGAGTCGGACGACAGCCAGTCACTTCACCTGCACACAACTACGCTATGCACAGGTATAAAATCAGCAGGGCATATGGCGCGCTAATGATCTGAACCAGTGTCACAACAGTTTCACCTCTGCCGCAGCGGTCTCCGCGAAGGAAATGTTGGATTCATTTGTGTGTTGATACCAATACACATAAGATGATCATTCATCACGTTTATAAAAAAGAGCAATTGATTGGAAATAGAAGGGAAGTAAAAACGCAAGCTCTGCGGCGACATATATTCACATCTACCTTGTGAAAACTTATATCGATTTCTGTTAAGACGAACTTTTACGGATACACGATATATACTTTTTGTAATAGATTCATAAAGACGGTGGTGACACACTTCACATGCCTAGTACCAGACACTGCAATTTCACTAAATCAGCAGTGCATGTTGTTTGCTTTTTTACTGCTTTACCAGATTAATTTCAGATATTTTGTATCCGAGTGCCTATTGAGTTCCAGGCTAATATTTAAATACCTAAACTCACACAGCTTCTCAGCTCATATTAACCACAGTTGATCTATTTTAGTAGTCGTGTACCTAATCTAAACATCGACATATAAACGTGTTATTCTTTTTTAGCTTAGTTATGGATAATTTTAGAACGAAAGAAGACGGTCCTCATGTAAAAGACAAAAATACGCGTATCGATCAATATAAGATAAGTGCCACCAAGCTAACAAATCAACGTGTTTCAGCGTGCAAGCTTCGCAGCCTGTTCGTTTGTTTGATCTTTAACGTCTACAAGTTACCCCTATGCAATGTGGCGTAGAAAGACGTTGCAAAGTTGCGCATCGTCACTGCATCGCTCGTCTGAATGGCACACGCACCTTGCCATGGTTATGGTATATGACATACTTGAGTTCCATTAAGTTAAGTTGGACATATAAGTTTGACATTTTCAGTTAATTTTGGCATACGGTGTCTCGGTCGAAGTGCCCATGTCACTCTACGATAATCGTTCTTGCGACAGACTTCCCTCTTTTCATCGGCGCCGGAGCTTGGGACGCAGCCAGTCGAAGGTCAAGGTCAGCACACTGCGGCCGCTGCAGCAGATCACTGCCGCCGCTGGATGCATCAGAACCAGCCGGTATAATTAACAGCCGATAACATCCGAATGCAGCTGTGCTGGCCGTCGCCCAGCGCGGCGGCCAGCGCGCGCCGGGCGCCGGTTTTTCCGGCCGCTCGGTGACGCCGCACCAGCGGTCCCCCGCGCGCTCGCTGCGAATCTCGGCGCCCGCGGGCCGTCACCGAGCGGCGCGGCCGCGCCGCCGCCTCCGCCGCTGCAGCATCTCAAAAAAGCCGGCCGGTCCCCGGCGGCATCCGTCACGAGGCAGCGTTCGGCGAAGCGCCGCTTGACGGGAGAGAGCCGGACGGGCCGCGATTATGTGGCGACCAGACGGCCGGCCGTGTAGCCGACACCTCGGCAGCTACTGGTTTTACGGCCGGCAACCGGCCAGTGGCGGCGCCAGGCGCACCGGCCGGGCGGCGCCGGCGGCTGCGGGGCGCGCCACTGCCTCCGGACCGGCTCGCTGAGCTCGGCGGCCCTCGGCGGCGGGCGGGCGTGGCCGGCGCCGGCGGCCCGCCCGCCGCCACTGACCGGCCCGGAGGGCGGCAGGGTCAGCGCTGGCCGGCCAGGCGCTGGACCCGCCGCTGGCCGCCATCAGATAGCGGCCTGTATTATTCGGCGGCTCTTTATGTGGCTGGTCTGTCACCGGTCGCAGCAGGTCCGGCCGGCCGGCGCCGATCGCTATCAGGCGGCGCAGCGCCACACAGGCACGCCGGGGGTCCTGCGACACTGCGGCCGACGGGGGCCCCTGCGACACTGTGTCCACCCTGCAACACTGTCCAACGGAAGCCTGGCGACATTGCCCAGCGGCCTCTGCGACGCTAAGTCCACCCGGGGCACCTGCGACACTGGATCCACCGGGGCCTCCGCGACACGCCCCAACGGGGCCCCTGCAACATTGCGCACTTCGGGGCCTTGGCACACAGCATGCACCCGAGGTCACTGCAGCACCGTAAGTCAGAGGCCGCCGTAATGCTGTGATCTGTGTGCTGCCACCAATGGCCCATGGCAGCACTGCGTCTATCCGAGCGTCTGTTACGCGATGCAGACCGGGTGCCATGGAAAACCGTCCACCACGGCTCTGTAAGGATAGGGGGTCCTAACAATGTGTCCACTGCCTGTTGCTGCAACGCTGTGACAAGCAGCGGCACTGCAAGTGTGTCCACTGACGTCTCCTGCAACATCGTCCGCCGACGACTTTCTGCGGCGGTCCACCGAAGGCCCACCTCACGCTGTTTACATAGTTGTTTTCTTTCTAGCAGCAATGTGCACCACGGGTACCTCCACAGTGCAAGGTCTAACGGGCGTACCGCGGCCGTGTTCACTGCGAACCTCTTGTTATAACCACGTCCACACGCGCCGGCTGTAACACCTAGCAGCGCGCGGGCACGGTCACACTCGTCAGCCGGGAGCCGGGAGCCGGGCAATAGCGTGTGCATCTAACGTCTCTAGAAGCAATGGTGGCCGTCGGCATATCAAGAAAAGCCTCACGCTTTGCGTTCACCACGACCATCCCTGGCCGCGTTACGCCACAGCTCTCCGTGCGTTCGTGCGAGCCTGGTCCGCCGTCACGTCACAGCTGTGATGGCTCTGACGCCCCGCTCCCTGCGCCGTCCTGCGGCCCCCGCCGGCCGGGTCACGGCCCGGGGCGACGCACGCGGCGCCGGTTCTCACGGTGTGAGCGCGGGCGCGGCGTTTTTAGCGCCGCCGCGCCGCGCCGCCGCCCGGCCGGCGCGCGGAGGCCGGCTGTCGCGGCGCCGCCAAACAGGCTGACCGATCGACGCTGAGCTGCCGCCGCACCAAAACAGATCCTCGACAATTTGTAAATAGCGGCCTCGGCTGTCTCCGGCCGGCTGCCGTGCAGCGGCGGTGCAGCGCGACCCCGGTGGACGCTGGGAACGGGCCGAGAGCGCCGGCGCGCGCAGATCAAACGCGCCCGGCTTTGATGTGACCGTGGGCGGCGTCCGCAGCCGGATCTGCCGCCGCTGGACACGTCACGGTCACGTGTGCGGCGGCTGCTGGCGGAGACGGGCGGCGCGCGTCACCGCCAGCCAGCCGCACATGTGGTGCGAGGCGTGTGATGAGGCCGGGAGTGGGTGCCCAACCTGGCCACCACAATACAACAGATAGCCCGGTCGGGTAACCACTGCCCGCCACCCCACCCGTCAGTGACAGGGTCATCACTGCCGGCTACCCCATCTTATCAGTGGCAGGGTCAGCACTGCCAGCTACACCGTCGTGATCGGTGACGGGATCAGCACAACCGGATGGTTGATCCAGAAACGTCGCTTCAAGTAGGACGCGAATGGCGAGTGGGTTATATCAGAACGAAGATAGTCTTTCGTCAGCAGCCACAGGCCGCCGGGCAGCCCGCTGGGCAGTACGGCAAGTCACTGGTGCAACCACATCTCTGAGATTGGGGGGATAAATCAGGATTTGAGGGGGTCAAACCCTGGAAGCAATATTTTCAAAGGGCAAACGCGAAAAACATACAGTTGACGTAAAATCGGAGGAACAAACTCTATTTTTTTTCGGAAATTAGGGCGGACATGTCTCCCAGTTCCCTGTCAGTGCTATATCCTAGCGGACAGCCAGCCAGGTGGCGCGAACAGCTCACCGGGCAGCAAGGCCGGCTCACCGGGCAGCAAGGGCAGCTTATTGGGCATACGGGCAGACCGCCTGTGACCGGGAGCGGTCGGTAAATGTCCAGCCATTTAACATTATCTGTGAGGCGAAAGCGGCTCCTAGTGGCCGTCGACACCAGGTGCAGGGAGGCCGCCGGTACCCAGGGCTCGCCGCGGCGGCGCATATGGGACGCGGTCCCCGGCCCGGCCCGTCTGAGAGAGAGGTCAGACGGTTACGCCAACTTACTCGACACAGGTGCCGGGCCTCGCCGGCTCACTCGGTACCGGTGTCGGGCCTCGCCGGTTCACTCGGCAACCGGTGTTGGGCCTCGTCGGCTCACTCGGCACCGGTGCCGGGCCTCGCCGGCTCACTCGGTACCGGTGCCGGGCCTCGCCGGCTCACTCAGCACCGGTGCCGGGACTCGTGGCGCACCGCGCCGTTCCGCGGCCAGCAGCTCGGCGCGGTCGAATACGTATCAGCTGGACAGAACACGCTGACTACGACTGCAGGCCTGATCAGAGAAGAAAGCGCTAGGAGGAGGGACAAACACAGCCCGACTCGCAACCGAGCAGGTGAGACGGCATCTACGCTGCTAGATGCCCCACAGCCCGCCAAACACCGGGCCCGGCACACCGGTACCGAGACCCGGCAGCGCTAGCCAGGGTGGCGCCCACAGAGCCGGCCGGCGTCTGTGTCATGGAATGCGTCGGCGTTGCAGCGAGCGGCGACGGCCGAGGAAACTTGCGCACCCCGCCGCGCCACCGCCCGCCGCCACACGACACCACTCATTGTCCGAATTCCCCGCACCTTTGTCGCGCCTGTCCACAAAATGCGAAGAATTCGCGACCGCCGGGGCCTTCCCTGCCACTTTCCTCGCCATGACGAGAACACCCGCGGACTGGCGTTCGATGACAAGCAGAGCTGCACGCCGCGAAAACCGCGCGAGAGGTCAGCCTCGGTCACTCCAGACGGCCGCCACGCACCGGGGAACATGGACAAAAATATCGCTCATGGCAAAAACGTGGCGTGCCATCACGCGAACACAGCGGCAGCAGATACCGGGACGCAGGCCGAATGGCAAGGCGCCGCCGGCCGCCGGTCCGGCCAGCTGCGCGCTGGGCCCGAGCGGTGGCGGGAGCGCCCGTGCCGCGGCCACTTGTCACCCACCGGGCACCGGCCGGCCGGCGCCGCCGCAAAAACGGCGCCGGGCACGTGCAGGGCGTTCGTTGGCCAGCCGACGGCCGGCGGCAGGAGCGGCGGGATCTGATCGCCGGACCGGGGTTGCGGCCGGCCGACATCGCGAGACGGGACGCCAGCCGGCCGGCTGACGCGGAGAACAGCGACACCCGCGCACAAACTCCACACGGCACTCGCTCACTCACTCACTCACGCACGCACGCACGCACGCACGCACGCACACACGCACGCACGCACGCGCGCACTCACTCACTCACGCACTCACTCACTCACGCACGCACGCACGCACGCACGCACGCACGCACGCACGCACGCACGCACGCACGCGCGCACTCACTCACTCACGCACTCACTCAAGCACGCACGCACGCACGCACGCACGCACGCACGCACTCACTCACTCACTCACTCACTCACTCACTCACTCACTCACTCACTCACTCACTCACTCACTCACTCACTCACTCACTCGCCCACACACTCACTCGGGCGGCGCCAAACAGCGGCAGTGACGCCGCGACCGTTCAGTCCAGCGACCATGACAGGTCGGGTCAGGTCGTGTCAACGACACCCCGGGCGTCAGACGGCATCGCTGCCGCTGGCGCGTGCCAGAGCGCGTCTCCGGCGGCGCGGTGGGGCGGCGCCGGGCCGCTGCAGCCCGACATGTGACCCGTGTAACGCTGATCGAGCCATCTCGCCGGAAGCACGGCCCGTGCGGCCGTACGACCCGGGCCGCCGGCCGGGTCGCGCCGCCGTCTTATCGCACGGTCACGTGGTGCGCCGGCACCGCACCGCCCGCTCATTTGCAGGCCAGCTGCCTTTTTTCGAGCCAGGAGGCGGCAGGGCACTAATGTGGTAAATGACGGTCATAAAAGCAGGCAAAACACTTTCCCTAATTGCCGGAATGCAGTCAACCACGGTGTCGATCCACATGCATACCAATCGCA